TTATACTAGTTGAGAATTCTGAGGGAAAATTAGTTCCACAGCGCACCACCAATGGATGGCATGTGTGTATTGATGTAATGACCCAAACCCAAGGGTCCAAATTGTTAACCAGGTCCTTACTCGAACCCGAGGTCAACTGGGTCATACCATCCATCTTCCTATATCCAACACTATCATAAGGGTCAATCCGGGTTTCAAAATACCTTTGAATATAACCTTATAATAATAGTCAAACAATGCAGGTCAAATGGGGGTGATCAGCTGACTGATGGCCCTTCACTGACCGGCTGACAGGACAGGATTGGTCGACTGGCCAACAGGGTTGGCCGACTAAAATGGTTGCACAAATTACATGCTCTCCGGACTTTCACTGTAGACATTTCGGTCAGCTAATGGTGGGGGTTCAGTCGGCCGAACCTAGGGCTTCGGTCAGCTGATGGTGAGGATCAGTCGGCCGATAGGCCCTGGACTGCTACTACCTGTTATCTCAAACATCAAAATGTTAAGTCCCTTTGCAAGCCAACCTATGGGAAACCTGATTTGCAATAAGTCCGAATTCACGGCAAAAGAATAAGCAATGATTCGAGATTTTTAAACATGCATAGCTTGACTATCATGAAATGTTTACATAGTCTCAATTTTACATCAATTGTATTACATGGCCATGACTTGCAACAAAAATGAGTTCTCTTTCTATAGTTTAAGAATTTACAAAAGATTAGCAAATACATAAAAAGTATCAAAATAGGTTTCTAGTCCCCTACATGCTTGTGGGAGGTCGACATCCACTACTTCTTTTCCCGGCCCTGAAAAATGTTAAATATAATGGGGTGAGCAATCTCAGTAGGTGGTGCTTAAGACATACCTCTTGTAGCCCCGTGAATCCAAACAATGAATAAAACAATAGGAAGCGGGGTTATGTTGAGCCAGGGAAAATACAATATCAATTTCAAGCTCAAAACAATTAAATGTCATGTCATGAATGCAACGTCATACATGCCACTCCCCATTTTCAGAAAAACATCCATCACTTCACAAACTATTAATATAACCCGTCCTTTGGTGACTCCGCAGCGACACGAGAGAAGGATTGGCTATTGTCCCTGACCCTTGGTACCTCCGCGGCGTCATTTGGGGCCCAGATCGCTTCACAAACTATTAATCATGCTTGTCAATAATTAAAGTAGAAGAACTCACAAAGGAACAAGAAAATTGGGTATTAGGGACCCCTACCTCAAAACAAGCCAAAAACCCCCAAATTAATGCCCTAAATCTCAAAATTCCCAAGTACACCAAACAGAAAATTGCTCTGATCAATTTGTAGATCTCATCATGCTCTTTTATTTGCCGTAAATGGCTCCCAAAAATCCCAAGTAATGAAGGAGAAATCAAACTTTGAAGCTTTGAAACCAAAAAAAAAAAAAAAAAGAAAAAAAAAAGAAAAAAAGAAAAGGCTAGAATGGGAGAAAGAGAGAGTGGTGTGACCGTCGCGTATGCAACCAAATTTGTACAAAATAGTGTGGCCAAGTTTTACATTTATAAATGCCACTACTACCACTAACTAAATATATAGTAAGGGTGAGTAGGGATCGTCCCAAGGGATTTAGGGTGCACTAGTAGTGGAAACAAGGCTTAGGGTTAGTAGGTCGAGTGATCAAAGGTAGGTTGTTTGGTTGATTAAACTACAATTAAAACTAAATAAGATCAATATCAAGTAAGTAATTAAAGGATAGAGAAAACAAAAGAGAGAGGTCTTGGAACTTAGAGATCACCACTAAGCATCACTTTTCTCTATACTCAATTCACAATTAATGAGGGGAAGACATATGTTGCAACAAGAGTGAGTGTGTGGTTGTTTCAACAAACATGGATGACCAATTAAGTGTATATTGTATAGACAACAAAATAATTAGAACAATATATCAAAGTAAGCCATTAATCCTTTTTTAAGCTCACAATCCAAACACATCACAAAATTAGAGAAATATAGTACATGCATTCATAAGTATGGAATATCAAACAACAAGCATGGATTGTCCTCCCATTTAACAACTAAGGCAACTACACTACATCTAAGCTAATGACATGAAAATTAAACTAATTAGACTAAGGAAGAGGCACAATCCATCAAAAGATGAGTATGAACCATCAAACAAACCACAAGAGCATTCTATTAAGCACTATGTCTTGACAATCTCTAGATCTATAGAATTAATACACATAGACATGTATTAACAACACAAGAAATAGAGATAAACACATGAACTTCTATTTTAGCATACATAGACATATGGATAGAATGAAATGGTCACTTGGAAAAATTAAACCACACAAATCATTGAATAAACAATATCTATGTATATAAATATGTTAAAACATGTATTACAACACAAATCCCCTAAAAAGTACATGAATCAAGATAAAGAAAGCATGCTTAGGGCTAACTCTAGCCCCAAGAGAATGTCTAGCCACTTGGATAACATTGGAGTTAGATGCAATTTGAATTGGCTATGAGGGCAAGTGGGAGCTGTTGGGATTTATATGCCCTAGCATAGCAAAATCCTATTTGGATTAAAGTGACATATGTTCCTGACGTTTCTGAAATATTTATGCTTTATACAATTGGTGAATTCAATGTATTATGTTTCGATTCACTATAGAATTGATAGTGTCCATTTGATTACAAGAGATATTTATATATGTATGTAATGGCAATCAATACATGTATATAAATAGTAATCATAAATTGTTCATAGTCGGTAATTATGGATAGACTCATAATTAATTAAGACTTGAATTGGATCCGCGTTAGGCTGAGATATATTGCAAGAGCCGTCATATGTAGTTGCTCCCTATCACCGTTATGGCATTTGACTCTTAAGCATGAGAAAAGTATAAACTATTTTATTAATTAATAATTACTTTGCTTTGTTCGGCGGATTCTTCGAGATCCTTAGACCGACACTTTGGGTAGTTATGTAATTAATAGTTAGAGGGTTATATTTTTAATATTTGCATCATTGCTACTTGTATTTATTTTGTATTGATTATGGTTGATTACAAAGTAAATTCGAAGGCCTTCGTGTGTTTTTAGACAAAATGATTTATTATATATATATTTATTTAAATTATTATTTTTGTTAAACAAATGTTTTATTGTGATCGAGCAAGAAATAATCAAAGGTACCAAAATAAATATATTAATTAAGTAGTCGGATTGATGGCTTTATTTATCCGATAACTAATTATGCATAAAGGGGTTAAAGTGTAATATTGACTTAGAGGTTATTTATTATTTAATTGGAGTTCAATTAATTTCTTTTAGTGGAGTAGAAATTAATTTATGAATTAATTGAATTGGGTCCATGGACCGGGCCAATTATTAATTCATTATAGCCAATAAAATAATAGGCCCAATGGATTCTCACTCATAGCCCAACTTGATATTGGAATCATATTAAATTTGAGACATGTGAATTAGAGATTGAGAAGGATTTGTTGTTTCCTTTTCTTTATCTTTATGTTGCCTATAAATATGTATGGTCTATGTATATTTGAAGAATGATTTTTATAAGAAGGAAAAAGGAATATATTTTCTGTCTCTAACCCTCGAGGGCTATCTCCATGGTAGAAATGCTCCTCTTCTTGAAGTAGATGGAAAACCTCTTAAGAATGTCTCTAGCCTCCTCTTCTCTTTTCTTCCTCTCTAAGAATTGTCTCTAAAAACTATCTACCAAAAGTATGTCTCTAAGCATATGTGAGCATCTATGTAAAAGTGGCTCATATCCCTTATATAGGTAGGTTAAAATGTCACCCAGTCTGGGCTGGCACATCAATATTCCTCCAATGATTGCACCATGAGCTAACCTTTAATGAGCTGGATTTTGCCTTTTTTTTAGATTTGAGAGGGTTTGATCGATTGAACTTGTGGTGAGATCGATTGAACATGGCTGAGATCTATCAAACTCTGGCTGGATCGATCCTCTTATGGCGGTGCCTTTTTGGATAAGGATAGATCTAAGACATTTTGGGGAATGAGACAAAAGTGGTAGGTAGGGTGGTACAACAGGATAAGATGGAATCTTTTCGATTGATTTGAGAATTGTTGGATCGATCAAACTTTGTGGGATCTTTGGATAAGGACAAAAGAGCTTGGATCCATCTTAAAATGTCTAGATTGATGAACTTTCAATCGATCTAAGTGTACTTGTGATCGATCGAACCTGTTGAATTTCCATACTTTGCTTCAATTTGCTTCCACTTTGCTCCTTTCTTCCATCCAGCTTGAGTTAGCTTCTTTTAAGCTGTTATTTGGCTGAATTAGCTTATTTTGGGGATAAGCACCTAAAAAGGGCAATAACATGAAATTAGTCTAAAACGGGAAAGGAAGATAGATAAAGGTCTCAGAATACCTAAGCTCAAGGGGTTTAAATGCGCACTTTTCAGCGCTCATCAGAGAGACTTACGGGAGTGAGAGAGAAATGAGACCCAAGTGGTCTCTAATGCACTTAAATGGTTAAGGTGGGTCCCACCAATTTTTCTTTTATTTTTCTTTTTTCTTTTATTTCTATTTTACACAACATATATATGTACACATTAAATAATTCCATAACCTTATATAACACATTAAATAAAATAAATATGATGCAAATGGACCCAACCAACACCCCTGTGTATGATAATACCGGTAGCGGGTCCCACCCGGGTCCGTCCGGTCTGAAAAACTAAAAAATGTGAAAATGACCATCCTTGCACTTCAAAGAGTACTGAACTCAATGAAACATCCCAATCATCTCTTGGACACAACCAACACACTCCACAGTGCCCAGCACACACAACGACAAAAGACAAAAATGCCCTTGAATTGGCAAAAATTTTGAAAAATGAAAAAATGTCAAAAATTGGAAACATCATAATCTCCCCAACTTAAAAAGATTTCGTCCCCGAAATCAAGCCATACCTGGGAAAGAAAACAATGCTGGATACTTAGAGTGAACCTCCTACTCGAGCTCCCAAGTAGCTTCCTCGATTCCGTGGTGTCTCCAAAGAACCTTCACTAGTGGTATCATCTTATCCCTTAACACCTTCTGCCGTGTGTCAGGGATCTGAACTGGCCCTTCTTTATAAAAGACATCCTCATCAATTTCTACATCAACCCAATCCAAAACATGAGATGGATCTGGTTCATACTTCCGTAGCATCGACACGTGAAATACGTTATGAACCCTGTCTATCTGCGTTGGTAAAGCAAGTCTATAGGCAACCTCTCCTACACAGTCCAAAACCTCAAACGGTCTAATGAATCGTGGTGATAACTTGCCACTTTTCCAGAATCTCATCAATCCCTTCCGCGGAGAAACTCGTAGAAAAACATGGTCTCCCACTTTAAAGGATAACGGTCGTCTCCGCTTATCCACATAGCTCTTCTGTCGGCTCTGAGTTGTGAGTAACCTCTGTTTGATCAACTTGATCTTCTCATTAGTCTCGAGTACTATGTCGAGCCCTAAGGCGGCTGTCTCACCCACCTCAGTCCAACAAATTGGAGACCTAAAAGGTCTACTGTACAATGCCTTAAATGGAGCCATTTCAATGCTCGCCTGATAACTGTTGTAGGCAAACTCAATAAGTGGAAGGTGACCCTCCCAATTACCTCCTAAGTTAAGCACACATGCCCGAAGCATATCTTCCAAGATCTGGATAGTACGCTCCGAATGGCCTTTGTCTACGGATAGAATGCCGTACTAAGGTGCAATACCGAACCAAATGCTGCTTGAAGTCCTTCCCAGAACTTCAAAGTGAACTTGGCATCCCTGTTCGAAACAATGGTTACTTGAACTCCATGCAACCTTACGATCTCTTTTACATAACGAACACCAAGTACCTCTACGTCATCTATTGCCTTAATAGGCAAGAAGTGAGCTGTCTTGGTTAGTCTATCAATGATGACCCATACGGCTTCATTACCTTCCAGGACTTAGGAAGACCTATCACAAAATCCATAGCAATCTGCTCCCATTTCCATTGCGCCACAAACAATCGTTGCAACAAACCAGCTGGTCTATGATGCTCGACCTTCACCTGTTGACAGATAAGGCACTTAGCCACAAACTGTGTAACATCTTTCTTCATTCCGTTTCGCTAATACTGATGTTTTAAATTGTTATACATTTTAGTACCACCTGGATGAACTGCAAAGCGGGAAGTATGAAACTCCCGTAGAACGTCCTCACAACAAACTGTGGAAACAGCCAACAAATCCCTGAATTGTAAACCTCCATCTGCATACAAGGTCCAATCCTTCACTGTCTCACCACTGGAAATCAAAGTGAAAATGGCATCCAAATCTGGATCCTGTCTCTGTGACTCAATCACTCATCCGACAAGAGTAGGCTGAGCCACAAGACTAAACAAGAATGCCGATTCACTACAATCATCCTCATCGTAATAGTACAATCCCATCTCTGCCAAACTCTCAAGCATCTTCCACTTCTAAATAGCCAAACTAGTCAAAGTTTCATGAGATTTTCGGCTTAAAGCATTTGCTACTACATTTGCCTTGCTCGGATGATATTGCAAATCAAAATTGTAATCCTCCAAGAACTCAACCCATCGCCTTTGTTTGTTGTTCAAGTCCTTTTAGGAGAAAAGGTACTTGAGGCTCTTGTGATCCGAGAACACCTCGAATCTTTCACCATACAAATAGTGTTTCCAACACTTCGAGGCAAATACAACTACCGCTAACTCTAAATCATGAGTAGAGTAGTTAAGCTCATGAGTCTTTAACTATCGAGATCCATAAGCCACTACTCTACCATCCTGCATCAACACACATTCCAAACCATCATGTGAAGTGTCACAATAGATTACATAACCCAAGCCATGTTCAGGTATCACCAATACTGGAGCTGTAGTCAATCTTGTCTTCAACTCTTGAAAAAATGACTCACAAGCTTCATTCCACACAAACTTGATCCCTTTATGGGTCAAGCGGGTCATAGGCACTGCCAAACGGGAGAAATCTTTCACAAATCTCCGATAATAACCTTAACCAAGAAAACTCCGGATCTCAAAAACATTCTTAGGTTGCTCCCAAGTTAAAACTGTTTTAATCTTTGATGGATCGACTGACACTCCACCTTCCACGACAACATGCCCTAAAAACTTCACCTCTTGTAGCCAAAACTCACACTTTTCATATTTGGCATACAAGCGGTGCTCCCGTAGAATCTGCAATACAATACTCAAATGGATCTCGTGCTCTTCCTGAGTTCGTGAATACACAAGAATGCCATCCCTGAAAACTACCACAAACTAGTCCAAGTAATCATGAAAGACACGGTTCATTAAGTCCATGAATGCCGTTGGCGCATTAGTCAAGCTAAAAGGAATAACAAGGAACTCGTAGTGTCTATACCATGTACGGAACATTGTCTTTAGGATATCCTCATCCCTAACCCACAGTTGATAATAGCCTGCCTCAAGTCAATCTTCGAGAAACAACTGGCTCCCCTAAACTGATCAAACAAATCATCTATCCTTGGCAAAGGATACTTGTTCTTGATGGTGGCATGATTCAACTTCCGGTAATCAATGCATAACCTCAAAGAACCATCTTTCTTCTTAGCAAACAAGACCAGTGCACCCCACGGTGACACACTCGGTCGAATGAAACCCGTCATCCTTAAATAATTAAGCTGCTTCTTCAATTATTCCAATTCAACTGGTGCTATACAATATGGTGCTATAGAAATCGACGCAGTACCGAGCATTAATTCAATAGTAAACTCCACTTCTCGGTGTGGAGGCAACTCTGCAAATCCTCCAAAAACACATACAGAAAATCACAAACAACTGCAGGATAATCCCCTTCTACAACATCGTCTTCTTCGGCTAAAAGACTTGTAATGACCCGGTTATTTTCGTTCATTTCCTTTTTCTTAGATTTCACAGATATTTTTTTTTTTCGTTGATCTTTTCTTTTCTGAGTTCGGTTTCTCATCACTTAGTGTCATCTTAAGTGCTCAAGTATGGTTTCTGAGACTCTTTTCCTTGGATTGATGACTTCCTTTGAGAACCGAGTCATTTCCACATTTTCACTTTTTGGACACTATTCACTTTTCGTCTTTTTCCCGTTGTCACTTTGTTGACACAACCTTACTTTTCGTGTTCAGATTTGATTCTAGTTTTACATGCATCCATGATATTCAAGTTCCATACTATGTGTATTTTTATTTTTATAGAGAAGCATGCTAGTTGCTTACTTTTACGTAAAGGGCATGAATTCATAGTTTCTTCGGAAACATTCTTGATTTTTGGGGTTTTAGTGTAATTATGTAAAGTAATTATTTTTCGTCTTGGGGACTATTTTGCAATTTAATTTGGAAGATATTTTCAAAAAAGACCATTTTGCAATTAAGTTTGCAACATATTTAGAGGAGGGACCCCTTTGCAAATATTTTTGGGTTATTTTGGGATTATGGTTTTAAAGAAGGGTTTTTGTGCAATTGACCAAAGTTGTGTGTGTTGACCATGGTGCTAGTTCACATAGTGATTGGAGGATCTCTATATCCTCCACTCACATTTCATCTTCACCACTTTTATTATCCCTCTCTTGAAAAAAACCCTAGCCTCTATGGATGAAGCTTAAAGCCTTAAGCTGTGACTTTGTTTTTTGAGAGCCTTCCACTGATTTCCAAGCTTAATCTTGGAAATACTTTTTGTTCCCCTCATCCTCCTCTACATAACCCTTGAAGGGTTTGCCATTTTGTGTTGATTTGCCTTGGATTCGAGAGAAACACTTCTCTAGTGAGGTAGGGGGTGTTATAATTTATTATCTAAGTGTTTTACTTGCTTTTGTATGAAATATAAGTTGTATACATGTCTTTTATTAATTTGAGAAATTAATGATTTGTAATAGCTTGCATATAACTCATTTTAGACTTGGTATATGGCATGGCCATGACTTGATCTTTGTTATATATTAAATTGGGATGATTTAAATGAATTTTCAAATCTAGAGATTTAATGAATTTAATTTGATTTAAATTCTACTTAATTATATTTTTCTTGTATTCCATTTTAGACTTGATATATGGCATGACCATGACTTGATGCCTGTTATATATTAATTTGGGAGTATTTGAATAACTTTTGAAATCTAGAGATTTAATTAATTTAAATTAATTAAATTCTACATGATGATATCTTGCTTATCTTGCACTCTAGATTTGATATATGTGATGACTATGCTATGTCCTTTAATATATACTAATTTGACGTTATTTAGAATTGATTTGAAATCTAGAGAATTTAATTATTTTTGTTTAATTAAATTCTATCTAATTGTTTCATGGATTTAATTATATCGTAGAAATTGTTTCCATGTTTAAATTATGGATTTTGGACTTGTTGTATATTCACTTAGTTGTGTTTTAAGCATTAAATAACATTGTTGTTAAATTTATATTCATGAGAACTTGTTTCCAATATTGAATACATGATTGACTTGTGTAATGAATTGCACACTTTGTTTTTGACGTTATATATGCCATTTTAGAATTGAAACTCTAAGGCATGGATTGTGTGGTTTTAACCTACTTGTGCATCGAAGGTGATTTCGTGCATTATTTAAATTATGTATAAGTTGTGAACTTATTTGTTTATTTTGAAGTCATTTGGGACATTTTTATTGAGATATGGCTAGAGTTTGGCTCTAGTACGGGAGGTATGAGTTCTCCCTATTTTATAGTAAGCGATAGGGTGGTATTCCCAGCGGGTTAGTGCCCAGAATAACCGTTTAAGTCTTGGTTTTATCCGAGAAATGATGTCCAAGTCTTCGACTATTTGATTTCGCATTTAATTCCAAGTTGACAATCATGTTTAATTGTGACTTGTGGTTTTGGTTATTGGCAATTTATGTTGTTAAGTACATTGGTGCATTATGATTTTTAAGGAATCATTACATGTTTTTAATGTTGTTAAGTACATTTGTGCATTATGATTTTTAAGGAATCATTGCATGTCTTTAATGTTGTTAAGTACGTCTATGCTATATTGTTCAAATGTAACCTAGGAATGATCCTATAGATTCATTTGGAACATAAATGTTAGGTGGCATGGCCCACTTTTGTCGTTTTCGTATTTTAGATTTCAAGTTGATGGCTTTGAGAATCTATATCTTATTGCTTTGTATAGCATGCACTTATGTTATTTGAATTACATGAATGATATGATTTATTCTAGAAATGATCTAAGGTAGCTTAGGATGCTCTCTGAGTCTCACCTTTGGTATAGACGTTAGGTGGCATGATCCTTTTGAATTGTTTCATGTTAATGTAATAATCCGAAAGGGCAAACTTATATGATTGATGAAACCAATTCCTCAGGTATTTATCATGAGCAAGTTCAGGTTATCACTACATTTAGAAGTGGTAAAGTGGTTGATGATCAAGTTGAAAAAGGACAGGAAGAAAAAAAGAGGCTTAGGGTTCCCATTGTTCCTATCATTCATAATCCACATCCTAGGGATGTTTCCTCAAACTAATTTCCACAAACCACAACAGGAGTTAAAGGTTGAATCACTTCTTCATCTGCTCCCAACCTTGAGACAGCTTATGAGCTAAGAGTGCCTTATCCTGAACGTCTCAAGCAACCCTCCTACTTTAGTAAGTAAGGGGAGAAAATTCAAGATATGATAGAGGTCTTTAAACAGGTCAAAATCAATCTTCCTCTGCTTGATGCTATAAAGCAAATTCCCGCCTACTCCAAATTTCTAAAGGACTTGTGCACTCTTAAAAGAAAATCTAAAAGCCAAGTTCCCAAGAAAATTTGTCTCACCAAGCAAGTCAGTGTTATTCTTAAGTACAACACTCCTCTAAAGGTTAAAGATCCTGGTGCTCCTATAATTGCTTGCATTATTGGAAACAACGTGATAGAATGAGCACTGCTTGATCTTGGAGCGAGTGTGAATCTTATTCCTTACTCGGTGTATGAGAAGTTAGGTTTGGGATAGTTAAAATCTATGTCAGTTATTCTACAGCTTGTTGACCATTCTGTCAGACAACCACAAGGTAATGTTGAAGATGTATTCATAAAAGTGAACAATTTTTATTTTTCGGTTGATTTCTTAGTTCTTGATACAGAACCAATCCATGATTCCAAAAAGTATATTCCAGTTATTCTCGGTCGTCCTTTTCTAGCCACGACAAATGCTTACATTAACTATAAGACTGAAGCCATGGATTTATCTTTTGGGAATATGAAAGTCAAGTTAAACATCATTAATGATATTCATCATCCCCACGATGATAATGAATGCTTCTTCCTTGATGTTATTGATGAGTTGGTTAAGGAATCACTCCCAACTATTTTATCTAAGGATCCTTTAGAAGCTTGTTTGAATCATTTGGAGGAGGACTCCTGAACATATTGGGAACTACTCCAAAGAAGATTAAATCCTA